TTTAATTTCATTACCTATGAATCTCCAAATAAGGTCACATTCTGAGGTATTGAGGGTTAAGACATATGGATTTAGGGGGACACAATTCAGCTCAGAAGACCAGCTGAGCCTCAGTCTCCTCCTCTGTTAGAAATAGGTCTAAGTTGGCCTCAAAGGCTTACTGTGGAGTTTGAATGAGAGATCATGGAGACATCCAGCTTGGGCCAGGTCAAGCACCCATCAGCCAGGAAATGGAAGCCCCCCATTTCAGGAGAGCCCAACCTTCCCCCCACCAGAGTTCTCTGCTCTCAGAGGCAACACTGGTTTATCAGCAGACCAACTGCCTGCTTCCTGCCCTGCCCTGCAGTGCATGGCACAGACCCTCGCCTTCCCCATGACCCCTGGGGGATGGTACCCCACCTCCCCTCCTCTGAGTTTAGTGGGGAGGGACTCAACTTCCCCAAATATAAGCCCTCCCCTGCTTAACTTATAATATCATTCATCTGTTTGCAAATCAGATACATTACATTGATATGATTTGGAAAAAATACTTTTAACTATCGAAGAAGACAGTGATTGCTCATTATTCCACAACCTGGGAATGTTTATAATGTTTATATCCCCCAGGAGTTTATCAATCTATAGAGCCTCATGTTATTTCTTTTTTGTTTTTTCACAAAACTGGGATGATCCTGTGTCCACAATTTTGTAACCTGTTTTTTCCTCTTATAACTCAAGGTGAACACTTCCCCATGTCATTAAATATGCATCCACCATATCACTGATGATGCTGCCCAGCAGCAGTCATGGGGACACATCATCCTTTATGCACCATGCGCTGAAGTGGGGACGCATAGGCAGTTAGAATGCCCTTGGACCTGAGGAATAATTTCTCAGGTCCCCACATGAAACTGACCTCATTTTAAGTGTCCACTGATTGAGAAAATGCCTAATAACTAACGTAAGTTCAGAAACAAGCAAAACCAAACAATCTATTGTTTAGACATACATATGATAAAACTGAAAAACTAAGAGCAAGGGAATGATAAATATTTAAGAGAATGTTCCCTCTGGGGAAGGAGTATTTAGATAAATATGTAAGTGATTGGCGATGATCTAGTTTTGGATTCAGTGATAGATTCCTTATATTTACTACTCCGTCCGAACTCCCGTAAAGGAAAGACTAAAATAAAATAAATTTAGGCCATGTATGGGCTAATGATGACAAGTGGTCATAAATCAAGGGCTATGACCAGTTAAACTGTATACCTCTGAGGTCCAAATAAAGGAAAGCCACACATAATCACAAGAGACTTCAGGCAGGCTTTAAATGGATTATTTCTGTTTTGTTTGTCACAGAGGCACCATAGGGCATAGATCGTTAAGGCATGTTATTTATTCAGTCCACAGGCAATATAAGGGTCCAAATGAATTCAGGGATCCCTTGAAATAAAATAACTCCCCAATCCAACATGTGCATGCTCTCTCTCTCTCTCTCTCTCTCTCTCTCTCACACACACACACACACACACACACACACACACCGCAGGGCTGGTCAAATGGGAAGAGAGCCTTGGCCAGGAAGACAGAGCTGCTGCCAAGGCCTGGAGCATTCTGATGGGTGCCGGGAATCAGTCAGTGAACATGACCAGCCCTGCCCTCGGGGAGCCATGGGCTGGTAGAGAAGACAGTAGAAAAACCAACAGCCTTCGTGTGACATAGACCAGCCCCAAGAGATGGAGGCACCGAGGAGGGCCACCCAACGCAGACAAGACAAAGGAGGGGAAAGCCAAGCTGAATGTTTGAAGGGCAAGTGGGAGTCGGCTAGGCTACCTGGAGTGTAGAGCAGTAAGGGCATTCCTAGCAGAGGGAACAGCACATGCAAAGCTGCAGAGGTATAGAATGGCTCCAGGGAAAGACAAGTTGTTCGAAAGAGCATCTGAAGTTCAGCAGGAGGGAGAGCATGAAGGATAGACAATCTGGAAGAGTGTTCTTTGCAGTGCTTAAGGGCTGAGCTCCATCCTGAGGGCAATGGCGAGCCACTCTTAAAGGAAGAATGCCATAATTTTAATTGTAGAAAAATCATTTCATCTGCCTAGTGGAAGAGACAGGGAGCCCAGTCTGACTACTGCAGAGATGAGGATGGCCTGGGGGTTGGAGCAGGAAATTCCTTTCATCCGTATGTCAATGAGAATGCGGGATTGGAAGGTTGCTGAGGGCCCTGCCTGGTCCCACGGTTGGACATGAAGATATCATCTCCCTTTGGCCATCCCCGCCTTGCCAAGGTGGAGTGGAGTGTGGGGGGAGGAGTATTTGGCCTGGCGGCACCGTCTCCAGGGCCACCAGGCAAGAGTGGGGCACCTTCTGGCTTCTCCCAAGACTCCACACCCTCAGCAGCCCCCTGATAACTCCCAGTCAACCTCACAACCTTGACCCATATCTGCCTGCTCCTTGTGTATTCAGTCTGACCGAGCACAGCCCCGTGGAGAGGCAGAGACGACTCTATCCCCTTAAATAATCCTATTTTCCAGCTGACATTTGATGAATGGTGGAATGAACGAGAGAATGCGTGTGATGCTGTGAAGACACATGACAGCGAGACGCTGTGTGTGTGTGTGTGTGTGTGTGTGTGTGTGTGTGTGTGTTTCCGGTATGCTCTGCATGCCCATCTGGCTCTGCGCTGAAGGACAATGATGTGTGCACAAGCTCGCCCACCACTGTCCATTGCCACCGCAGCTGACATCCCTGGTGGGCTGGGGACACCTGCCTCACCCCGTGCTGCTCCTGACACACCCCAGCACCTGTCCCCAATTTCTTCCTCATTTACCTATTGACGAACACTCAAGCGAGCTATAAAATCAACTTGTTCCGAAGCTGCTACCTTCAGTTTCCTCTCGCCACATCTAGAATAACAGACAATTATGCTCATAATAAGAGGATCCATGAAGAAATGGCCCTGTGTCCTAGAAATCAGGGCACCTTGGGTCTGTGGGTCTGTGTGTGGGCCCTGTCTGTCCAGTCAAGATGCGGAACAGCCTTTGGTTCTGCCACTGAGATAGTCACTTCCCAGAGGGATCTTTAGGACATGCGCCCTCCCAGTTAAGAGCCATCCAAGCCTCCCAGGCCATTGTACTCTGCAGAAAGCTGTATGGGAGGTGACAAGTCATTGGCCTCTCGTCACTACCCCTGCACAGTGGCTCTGGTGATAAGCACCTTAATAACTTAGTTTGATTTCTCTCTTTTCCCCTGGACTGTGATCGGTGTGTGGAGGGCCCTCCTTTGCACATGAATGAGACTATTCCTGGGTGAAGACATGGGCTGCCCATGCCAGCCACATTCTAGCCTATGGGGGACGCTGTGGGCTAAGACTCAGCCTGGGACTAGGGACAGTACTCAGCCTAGGGTTGGGTCGGGGACTCAGGTCAGAAGCTAGGGATGGGACTCAACCTATCCTCCCCTGCTCCTGGCACAGGCTATTATGAACACCTAAGGGTCACTGCCTCTGCAGCTGCCCAGACCTGAGCCAGGGGCTCTAACGGTCCATTCAAGAGGTAGAAGACAGACCTGGCTGGCGGACCTGCACCTGGTACCTGCCTGTCAGCGAGCCCTGGAGAGATGCCAGTGCTCATCCCTGGTCTCAGGGCTCTCTGGCTCTCGGGCTTTGCCGTGGCAGTGACGGAAGCATTAATATGGAGGCTGGTGGAACTGGAGCACACAAAGGCAGCCCCGTCCCCCTCTTCCCCTCTCTTTGCTTAGGGCATAGTGCTAGTTCAGAGTGCTCTGGCAGCTTTCTGCCCAGTGGAGGCCAGCAGCGGGGAGGACAAGACTAGTTCCTCTGGGACCTCCAGCCCAGTGGGGACTGGGTCCCAGCTCCCCCTGCCCTCTAAAGATAGAAACACTCAACACACACTCACACACACACACACACACACTGGTATGGAAACTAGTTTTAGGTGACCCCGGCCAAGCCAAGAGGAAGAGAGACACATTCTCACTTCTCACTTTGTTCTCTCTGGCTCTCAGGGGCAGTAAGACCGGGGTATTTGAAGTCCTCCAGATAATTTCAGCCAGTTTCTCCCCTGGACTTCCCCCTCCCATTAAATGACAACACTATCCCCTCCCCAGTCACGGGACGGGGTGGGGGGGGGGGAACCTGGTGCTATCCCGGCCTCCTGGCTCCCGTGGGAACCCACTCACCCACTCCTCTCTCCAATCCCTCCTCCCCAGGGCAGGCTGTCTTCCGAAATACATCTCTATCCCAGCCCCACGGCCTGGTCCAAATGTTCATCCATTCAGGCCACTGGATCTCACTAGACTTTTCCGTGGCCTCCCTGCTGCCCTCAAAGCCCCTCCAACCCATTTCCTTCCCACAGGCCACAGGGGCTTTTCTAAAGCACAGATCTGCACGCGGACTCTCCACTCCCTCTGCCTCCCGTCTGCAGTGTCCCGCCTCAGGGAGAGGACACTCAGGCCGCCCAATTGTGGCTCTCGGTTAGGAAGGCTGCAGTGAGTTCCTCCGCGCGCCGGTGGGCGCGCTTTGCTGCCCCTTGCAGCCCCGGGGCCTGCGGATGCTCAGACGGCGCATTCCGGCACCCTAGGCACATCTCCTCGTTCCCCCCGCCGCCCTCGTCCGGACCGTGCCCGGGCCTGAGAAGGCGGACTCCGGGGGGTGCCGGGGGGCCGGGCCCCGAGAGCCAGGAGGCCCGGGGTTGCTGGGGGCTCTGGAGGCTGGGCGCGGCGGACTGGAGCCACCGGCCCCGCCCCCTGGCGCCGCCATTGGCCGCGACCGCGCGGGTGGACCCGCGGCTCTCCGCGCTCCGCAGCTCCTCTCCGCGAGGGTCCCAACTTGGCAAATCCCGGGCGGTCTGGCGCGGCGCGGCGAGCCTGCCCCGCAGGTCGGGGCTGGGCGGGCAGGGGCCCGGCCCCCGCGCTCTCCAGACGGCTCGCTCTGGCACCCAGTCCCTCGCAGCCACGCCGGGCGCGCACTCACACTTCCTCGCGGCGCGCGGCTCCCGGGCGCGATGGACGCAGCGCTGCTCTACAGCCTGCTGGAGGCCAACTGCAGCCTGGCGCTGGCCGAAGGGCTGCACTTGGACGGCTGGGGGCTGCCCCTGGACCCCGAGGGTAGGCGGCGGCGAGCGGAGCGGGCGGCGCGGGTTCCTTCCCGGTGTGCTGAGTGCGCCCCAGGCCCCGCGCCCCGAGCGCCCCGCGCCACCGCCCCCCCCCCCGGCAACCCAAATGAGCCCCTCTTTCTGTCTCCCGTTTCCCAGGTCCCTACTCCTACTGCAACACGACCTTGGACCAGATCGGGACGTGCTGGCCCCGGAGCGCGGCCGGAGCCCTGGTGGAGAGGCCGTGTCCTGAGTACTTCAACGGCGTCAAGTACAACACGACCCGTGAGTGTCCCCCCCATCCTCCTCCGCGGGCTCTGCGCCCGACGCCGGGAAGAGCGGTTTAGGGGGCGGGCACTGCCCCGGACCCCGCGTCGGAGACCTGCTGAGGGCCGGCGGCGTCCCCTACCCTACTGTAGCCTCAGAGCTCAGTAAGGCGGTGATTTGCCCAGAGCCCAGAAAAGGAAAAAGGAAATACTTGCTCCCTTTTGAGGGCAGATCTCTCTCACACATTGTATACTCTGGGTGCCCGAATTGTTTAGCCAATGCTACCAGCACGAGGCGGGGGGGGGGGGGGGGGGGGGGGGGGGGTCCGCATATGCTCGGTTCCCAAACTCCGGGGTGAGTGCAGGGATCAGACTCTCTCTACCAGAGCGGAAAGAGGGCAGGAGTCAGGAAAGATGGGGTGAGCACTCGTGTTGAGTGGGACCCTGCAGAGAATAGGCACTTCTGGGCCAGAGGGTGTGGGTGGCACCTCATCCCTACCTGGATGTCCCAGACTGGCCCTCTGTGCTGTGAGTCAGGGCTCCAGGGCAGCGTTACTCCTACTGCCCAGGTAATGCGTGGTGTCTGAATCAGGACCACCCCCATCCCCCAGGGAGAACAGCCTGTGCCCTCCTTCCTCCTGGCAAATCACTGGCTGGCTTGACGTTCTGGGGAAGGCGGCAGCAGAAGCTGCTGGTGGGGTAATTCAGCAGGGGCTGTTGGGAGGGGGGAGAGTCTATGCCCTGTAGAAAGTCCGATGGGTGCCACATGGGAGGGTCTTGTAAGACTATGGTGGGAGAAATCACTGGCCCACCTTGACCAGCCACTCACATCCCCAGCCCCACCCCACCAGTGAAGAGAGGTCCTCCTGAGACCCTCAGGGCTTCCTTATCCGAAGCCCCTCATTCTGGAAACATCTAGCAGCCTCTCTCTGCATGTCTGTGTCTGAACAGCAGCACAGGTCCTCATCACCTCATACACGCACACACACACACACGTGTCCAAACTCTCAGGGCCTGAGGCCTCCGCTGCTGAGAGAGATGGTTAGAGAACAAGACAGCTGTGCCTTCATCTGATGCTAAGCAGCACTCCCTTGTCTGCACCAGCAAAGGGCTCTGGTGGGCCTAGGGAGGAGCCGGGCTCTGAGGAGTCCAGCAGCAGAGGTGCTCCTAATGGAAGCAGGTGGTAGAGGTAGGAGAGGCGCTGAGGAAGATATCTGCATTATCTGAGGACATGCTTCCCATCCATGATTAAAACAAACCTCTCTGGGTAGAAGCGAGGTCCCTGATCCAGGGGGTGTACAAGCAGAAGGAATGACTTTCATGCTCTTTCCCAGTCCTGAGATTATAAAACTGTGCTTTTTAGGGTCCCGTGAGCTGGATCACAGGATCCTAGGGTCTCTCGTTCAGACTGTGCCTGGGGACAGAGGGCCAAGTGAGGTGATGAGGCATCTCAACCCAGGAGCCGTGGAGCTGAGGGAGCTCTGCTCTGGTTCCTCCCTCAGCCTGGGCTGTCTCCTGTTCTCCCCACCAGCCTGGAACTCCCAAAGGGCAGGGCCTCGGTCTCTTCTTCAGAGCTGAGCACAGTATTTTTTCAGTCAGTTTATTAAGCAGCTACTATGTTCCAGCCACTGCACTGTCGTTGAGGCCCTCGCTCACAACCGCAACAGACAAAAGGAATACAGAGTGACAAATACCCTGACGGAGGAGAGCAGGGGGGCTGCAGGATGGGGGAAGGGGGACAGACGAGGCAGGGGACACTTCCCGAAGGAGGTGCTGGAGCGCATACCAGACCTCTCCTGTCACATCAAGTGAGAGGGTGAGAAAAGGACAGGGCGCCACGGAGGCTGGCAAATGTGCCAGTTAGCTCCCGGTACCTGATGAGCAATTTTCTTCATTTGGCCCAAAGCGCTGGCCACACAGGAGCGGCTGGGGAAGAGGAGCACGGGGTGCCGGGAGCATGGCCAGCCGAGGTGGGAAGAGCAGAGAGGCTCTGGAATGGCAATGGAAATGCAGTCGTTGATTCGTCCCCTGCCCTGCCTCCTTGCCGCTGCTTCCTCTTGCCCCATTTGCCTTTTCGGTGGGATTCTGCTTTTACAAAGGATGCAGGGAGGAAAACAGCTCCGATGGGAAGCCTTGGGGAAGAGGAAGAGGGGTCTGGCTTCTCTTCTTGCCCAGTTTTGCAGTGCTGCAGCCTAGCCCCCCCCCCCCCCCGACGCCTCATTCTTGAGAGGGCCGGCATTCCCCGGGTAAGACAGCTTAGTCATTAGTCCCCGGGAACTTTCTTCCACTCAGCCGAGCGCAGAGACTCTGCCGCAAAGCTACCAAGTGCGGCTCATTTTCCGGCTCTAGCTACCACAGAGAGAGCTTTGCATGTGTGACCCCCCTCGTCCCCACCTCCCGAATGCCCCCGAGATACGTACCGCCTTTATGCCCATACTGCAGACAGGACAACTGAGGCTCAGAGACGTGAAATGACTTTTCACAGTTAGAGTCCACTCCGAGGCACCCGGGCAGACAGAGGAATCCACAGCCGTCACTCTTAAGCACGGGGCAACACCACCTCCAAAAGAGACAGTTCTTGGGGAGAGTTTAGAGGGACAGAAGGAGGACTACTCATGCCTCCACCCTGGAGGATCGGGGAGGGCTTAGCCCCCAGAGCTGGACTTTTGGGGACAGGGGGGATTGATTTTAGCAGGTGGAAGTGGAACAGGTATACAGGAGGAGATGAAACCATGCTTTGTGCCTCCGGACTGGTGAGTGTCGTGCAGAGCCTGGGCAGGAGGAGAAAGAAACAGACCGGAGCAGACGGGTGGATGTTGGTCAGGTGACGCAGGGCATTGCCGAGGGCTTTGCCGTCCGGGCGGGAGGGAGTTCAGCTTTGGGGCACGCAGCCTCTGGAGACAAGAGGAGGGGTCAGGAGGCACTGCAGCTGGCCCGGTCAAATGGGGCTGTGGGAGCCGAGGCCGGGACGGGTGCAGGAGACCTGGGGCACCTGGAATGTACGGGACTGGGGTGGGATGGGGGCACGGGCGGAGTCAGGGATGACACGAGGAAAATGCTGAGCAGAGGTGGAGGTAATGTTGTCCCTAAGGAGCTGGAGGGACATCTGAGTGCAAATGTCCATCCAGAACGTAGTCGGCTGGAAGTAGAAAGCTCAGGAGAGCGCCTCCTGCTAGAGACAAGGCGTTCGGTTGTGTGGTTAGTGGCCTGCTACAGGTGGCTAGATGGGGAGGCCCGTTCAGAGCCTTGATGATTCTCACCCAGAGACTCTGTCCAGATGCAGCACGGCCACGGGAAAGGATGGGGCTTGTCCTTTGCCACACAGGCTAGTCCCTGCAGAAGCAAGTTAAATATCTGTGTGTCCAAGTTCCCCCCAGGTTCTCCCCACCACCCACACTTCTGTGGCCCAGGTTCCATGTGCCTGGGCTGTCCTTAGACCTGCGCTAACTCATTAATCTTTACACTGACACTTTAATGGAGACATAGGATTATCCTCAGATTGCACATGGGGATATGGAGGCACAGAGAAGTTAACTGGCTTCCTGAAAGTCACACAGCTTGTAACAGAGTAAGGATTCCAACTCGGGCTCCGCTGCCTCTCAGAAAGCGACTGTGCTGGCTTAAACAGAGAAGGGATTAGTTGAAAGCATATCAAGGAGCTTGTGGAACCACCAAGTGGGCTGGAGAACCAGATTTGGGGCCTCCAGCCAAGAGCTCAGGGCAGAGCGGGCCCAGTGAGGGAACTTCGCTCTCCCTGAGTGAGACCTGGCCACCAGCTGGGCCACAGTCCTGCTGCCACCAACCTCCCAGGGTGCTGAAGCTCCCTGCAGCGGCCGCCGGAAGCCTTTCTCCCTGTCACCATTTTGTGGACCCCCAGCTCACTAATCCCTGGGGGCAGGTGCATCCCATGGGGCGGGAGAAAGTGGGGGACTCTAGGTCACCCACTCCAGCTCTGGCTACAGCGGGGCCTGGAAGATGAGGACTTGGCATTTCAGTTCTGGGCCAGGAGGTGGCCTCTCCCTCCCCCCAGGTTTCTCCGAGCCCATACAGGATGCAGGTTCAAAATATATTGTAATGTCTATACACAGTATCAGCTGGAGCAAGTCTGATCCCCTTCCTGGGCCCCAGTCTCTCTGTCTGCAAGGAGAAAGGAAATGGACTAGGCCAAAGTAGGCAATATACTCCATTTCCTGCCACCTCTCACTGTCCTGTGCGGACTCTGAGCCTATGTCCATGTGTGCATGTCCGTGCGTCTCCCTGTCTCTGTCTCTGTCTCTGTGTGTGTGGCTCGGTCTTTGTCTTTGGATGTATTTTCTCTCTGTTTCTTTCTATGTGTATATCTCTGTCTTTCCAGTTTCTCTCTTGTTTTTTATCTCCGCTGCTTTCTCTCTCCCTCCTTCCCTCCCTTCAGGCTCCCTCTGCAGCTCCCTTCCTCCCTCCATTTCTCCCTTCCCCTCCCCCCTTCTCCTTCCGTCCTCTGTCTCTGCCTCCTCCCACCCCTCATGTTATCCTCCCTGCTCCAGCACCTCCTTTTGCCTGGTCCTGGGGCCCTCGTGGCTGCAAAGGGGGGGCCTGCTCCCTCCTGCACAGGGCTTATTTCCCCCTGCGGAATTGTTAAACCCAGCGCAGCTCAGCCTCAGTCTCGTGCTCTCAGGCTCCTACCGTGTCCGGTTGGCAGCTGCCGGGCCCACGTGTGCTGAGGCATCTGCCAGGACAAGGGGGCAAAAAAAGACACCCCACCTGACCTAACCCCAGGGGGCGGCCTGGCGGTCCCTACTTCCCAGAACCCCACTCTAGAGACAAAGCACGGCTTGTGTTGGAAACACATAAGCTGAGTGGTCTCCAGCCAGAGGCATCTTCCCATCGAGTCAGCCTGCTTGTGTAGAAATCGCCTCTTCAGCCTTGAGGGGACACAGTGACAAGAAGGGCTGAGCCCTGCCCTCAGAGAACCCCAGGCTGCTTCAAGACCAGACTCGCACAAACCAACAGTCAGGGCTTGGTGGGCACCGGAGCATTCCT